ATTCCTGGTGTTTTGTCAATGCTCCGACGTCAGCTCGGCCGAGCAGGCCATGAACGAGGTTCAGACGGATTCCTGGATGAACCCATTGTACAGTACCTCAAAGACGGGACCTTATCCAACGATAAAGTCGAGGCGAGGGTCTGCGAACAAGGTCTGCTCGCTTTACGCTCATCGGGGACCAATTGTACAGGAGGGGATTCAGTGCCCCGCTCCTCCGATGTGTAACCAGCGAGGACGCAGACTACATCATGAGGGAAATTCATGAGGGGATCTGCGGTAACCACCAGCAGCTCGGTCTCTGGCGAACAAGATTGTTCGCCGGGATACTACTGGCCCGCATCCAAGAAGATGCGAACAACTGTCAAGAAATGCGACAAATGCCAACGGTTCGCGAACATTCGCGAGCCCCATCTACGAGCTGATCACTATTACTAGCCCATGGCCGTTTTCCATGTGGGGGATCGACTCATCGGCCCCATGCCGGTTGGAAAGGGAGGGAGTAGTATGCCGTGGTCGCGGTAGACTACTTCACTAAATGGGTCGAAGCCGAACCGTTAGCGCGATCACGACCAGGAAGCTAAAGGACTTCGTTTTCAAGAACATAGTGTGCCGCTACGGAATCTCACACCCTTATCTCAGACAATGGAAAACAGTTCGATAATGAGGAGTTCAAACGTTCTGCGACGAGCTGCGATCCATAAAAAATTTGCCTCAGTGCCAGACCGCAGGGAATGGCCAAGTTGAAGCAAGTCAACAAGACCATCAAGCACACCTTGAAAGCCAAGCTCGGGGCAGCCAAAGGAAATTGGGCTGACGACTCCCCGAAGTCTTGTGGGGTACAGGACAACTCCAAGGACCTCCACCTCGGAAACTCCATTTTCGCTAGCTTACGGCTGTGAAGCGCGTGATCCCTGTAGAGGTCGGAACGGGTCTCTTCGGAGGGACCTGTACGATGAGGACGGAAACGAAGCGCTAATGAGAGCAGTTTGGATCTGGTCGAAGAGCACCGAACAAGGCCTCGCTAAGGATAGCAGCTACCAACAGCGAGCAAAAAGATTCTTCGATCAAAGGTCAAACGAAGAGACTTTCAGGTCGGAGACCTTGTGCTAAAGGAGGTTCTCCTCGAGACCAGAGAACGAGTGGGGGGTACTAGGACCAACTGGGAGGTCCATACCGGGTCGACAAGGTAATCAGACCGGGGACCTACCATCTTAAAAGGTTGAACGGTTCCAAAGTACCCGAGCTTGGAATGCCGAGCACCCACCGCGCCGTACTATCAGTAATCCCGAACTCAACTCTTTTTTTTGTAAATTTCCTTTTTAAGTGTTACTTTGTTCGCTTAAAACAGTTCGTATGTGTTCTGTTCGGTTTGTAGACAATTATGTAAATCACAAGGTGTAAATTGCACACGCAATATATGAAAAAAGCGAACTGTGAGGTGAATAGATAACTTCATTTACAAGGAAAATTCAAAAAACCCGATTACAACAAAGACAGTTCACTACGCCTAAGGTTGGTCGGGAGATCCTTCGAGCCAGAGCCACCCGCTGGGGGGTCCCTGGGCGGCCGCGGCAGCCTGGTCGTCCTCTTCGGCCATAATCCGCAAGGTCGCTGCCAAACCTCCGGGAGGGCGGACATGTCCAAGTCCGGGTTCCTAGCTCGCAGGGTGTAGATACACCCAATCGCCCAGTCCGCGGCTTCTCTCCAGCTCCTCGACTGATTCTGATTTCATCGTCAGAGAAGCGACCTCGCTTGACTCTCCTGGAGCTCGGCCTCAAGAGCAGCCTTTCTGCTCGGGAAGCCTATCCTCTTCAGCCGCTGAGCCCGTGCAAAGGTCGCCTGAAGCTCCTGGTTCTTTCTCCGACTCTCTAGAAAGCCTGGCGGTCGTCCTTTGAAGTTCTCTTCCTCGGCACGCCGATCGAGCTCTGCCCTTTGGAAGTCTACTGTTCCTGAGCAGCGTCTTCTGGTTCAGGTACCTATTCGCTGCTTCAAACGTTGGGTTCTTTCCGCCTCAACGGACTCAAGTTTGCTTAGTTTCGCGACCTCCGCTCCAGTCGCCGTTCCCTTTGCGGCCCCCAGCGCGTCTTCTCCATGGACATCCTCATCGCAAGCAACCCCTGTGAGCAGTATACGAGTTAGAAATAAAACCAAAATAGGAATTCAAGGTACAGCTGGTTACCTTGCTCCGATGCTGAAACGAGGTGGCCATCAGGTCGCACGCGTCTGCAAATTCATTATACGACCCCGATAGCTCGCTCTCGAGCAAGCATATACAATTGGCTGCAAGTACTCGGGCAGACTCCCGAACGAGTCCAGAACGGGGCGTCCTTCGCCTTGTCGCCAGTCACCGCCCCGCTCGCGGGTTCCTTTCCGGCCTCCGGATTCTTGGCGCGTCCTGAGGGGCTCCTCCTCGGATCGGTCTCAGATTCTTCGAACTGGACCTGTTCTTTTCTTGGACCTTTGGGCCGGAGCCTTCCGCTGGGGCGAGCAGGAGGTGCTGGAGCGACCTGTCTGTTCTGGTGCTTCTTGTGCAGGGCGGGCTGCGAAGGTGCAGAAGTTCGACGCGGTTGTGGCGGGAATGGCGCGAGCAGCCTCGGCCTCCCTTTCCCTTTCCCTTTCCCTCCTTGACGAGGGAAAACAAATGGCGCTCGGCGGGACTGCCCGGACTCTTTGGGGGCATGTCTCTGCATTTAAACTTTGTCAGTAAGGGAATTTATACCAGACCTTACCAGCATAACTCACCGTCCAAGGGTTCTAATGATGCCTTGTCGGTGAAAAAAACCGTACTTCGCAGGTCGCAGTCGTCACAAGCTTCCTCGCGTCCGCTGTCTCGCCTAGTATCCCAAGAGCCTGCTCGGGTCGGCGAGTAAATCTTGGCTGGTCGTTCTATTAACTGCATAAGAAAAAGGTCGTTAGCTAACGATCGTGGAGCAATTAACAAATCCAGCAAAAGAAAACCTACTTGGATCGGAAGTGGCGGTGACCGTTATAAAAGAAAAGAAAAACTTGTCTCGTAGGCCCCGCATTGCTGGGATAGCTGTGTATCCCGCAGCAATGTTAGGTCGCCGAGACAGTAGTAAGAATCCTTGTCCCTACTCTTCTAGATAGTAGGCGACACCGAGCTCCAGTGCCGACGGCTGCCCAAACCGTTCTGCAGCACGCAATGTACATCGCAACGGCGATGACATCGCGTTTGGCGTCAGCTGCATTGGTACGATCCCGAAATGATCCGGACCGACCTGATGAAAGGATGGAAGGGAATCCTCCCCCACCCTTGAAGATCTCCTCAGAGATCGCGGCAAGGCCGTCGGGTGGGCGCCGTGACGGCCTAGTGTGGTCGAGGAACACTCGTTACGGATATCGAACTGCCGCTTTATTCTGGCATATTCCTCGGAGGTAAGGAACGAATAGACGTCGAGAGCTGCGTCCTGGGAGCTCCCCGCGAGGACGAGCTGTGGCCTCCTCGGTCCTGGATGTTGACGGTTCCATTCCAGTCTGCAACATCGACAGACATGGTCATTTGCCTCATGTTTGTCCCGTGCGGCAGCAAGGGACAAATACTTAAAACCTAGAGGTGATTCAAGCGCCATCCCGGCTCGAAAACAATAACGGCGTCGAAACTCCTGTGAAACACGGAAGACCCAACACCGGGTTCGATCAAACCATACCCAAAAAAAAAAAAAAAAAAAAGGAGAGAACCCTACTCTGTGGTATATGGAGCTAGGGCCGAGACTCGTTCCAGTTGCCTGAAAAGCGTCGATCGGAAGAAAAGTTCTTGGTTTGCCAAAGTTTGTCACTCAAAGCGAAAGAAATTTCGGTGACTTCATCTGAAAAATGCCAAGTTTTATATGGATGCGAAAAGACGGTTACCACCCTCGGAGTCGAAACGGCAATCCCTCTCCCTCCGATTAAATGCGCCCCCACGTCGCATTAAATGCCGTAAAAAGGGGCGCCATTTCAAACCCACGTCGCATTAAACGCAGCAGTTAGGGCTGTCAGTTTCAAACGCGTTAAACGGTCAATACTGTCAAAACGGCGTGGGTCATCATACCGCGCATTTAATGTGTCTGACACGCGCTGTAACGATGCAAAGCGCCTGACAGCGCAGGGACGATTCATTGAACACTAAGGAGCGTCCGACAAGTCCAGGTCGCTGAGATAAAGTGTCAGGTCGTTTGGGCAAGGGATCGCGCGAGGTCGCGCGAGACCGTGTTCGCTACGAGTTTAGGCGAGTGTCCCATCCAGTCGGAGCGCCAAAGTCTCAGTGGGACTTAGTTTCCAAGGCTCGTTCCTCGAACCTTAAAAAATAGGGGGCTTCTTATGCACGGGAAAATAAAGAGCTGACGTGGAAGGAGTCACGTCAGGAGTAACCTGCCCTGGCAGGACAATGTGCGCACGTCAGACCTGCGAATAAACATGGAGCTTACACGGTCCATCTCTCTGCAGCAAGTCATGCAAAGTCAGTGGAAAAAGGGAAAACGGGACGTGAAGATAGAGACGTGCTGACACATCACACCAACCCATAGATTAATGATGAACACGTTTCGATTCGAATAAAATGTAGAAAACCTCACCATTAAGGGGGTTGGTTCATTCATTACCAAAAAACAACTCTCTCACTTGTAAAAAAGAGAAGAGTAGCTCACTTTTCATAACTTTTTGTACGTCAGTACGCTTTAGCGACCTGACCAACACTAAAATCAATACAACTCAGTGGATGTAGGACTTGCTACCTTAGCATCCGAACCACTTTAAAAGTTTTCCTAGCATTTATTTCATTTCATATACCCATTATCACGTGCGTTAATTCATCAAAGAACAAAACCCACGTGACAATTGGTTGGTGCCGAAAAACAGCATCAACACCCTCAAACTGGTGTCACTTGAGCATACTATGATCAAGGTGGGATGCATCAGATACTGGATCCTGATCATCAAATGAAACTAGCTTACATAGCAGAAAGAAAGAGTTTCCCTCTATTTCATGCTGAGTCGCGTACCAAATAATATCCACTCAGTTCCCGCACATATCGTTTCAACGCAGGCCGACTAGTAAAGAACCCTGTCCAATAAGCATTTATTCCATCTGCGTATCTGCCGGCAGTCATTGATAAACAAGTAATTAAAACAGAATAGTTTTGGAAAGCAATGCTTCATCAAGAAAAGGAAAAGGGAACTGCAGGTAGAACTAGTAATACTTACGGGAAGTAATCATCAGTTTTTAGTGGCCATGATACTTTTGCTGCATTCTTTGCATTGGTATACAGAGAAGGTGTAGAATATAATGCATTAACTCGACCATCCTGAGGAGATTAAACACAAATAATAGTGTATATTAAATACAATCTAAACCAAGTATTGTATAATGGACACCTGAAAAAGGAAGGGGTAACATCTTTTTTTCTTTCAAAATCTGTTTTCTGTAGATATTAACAAAGTTCAATCGCTATTCTAACTAGTTACATCTCCTTCAATAAATCACAAAGTAAAGAAAGATATATTTATATGGGATAAAACAATTTTCCCAAAAAAAAAAAAAGAAAAAGAAAACATAAAAGAGCATCTACAACATGGCAGAACAAGATAAACGAAGTTACTTTCAAAAGCTTGTCTACTGATATGTAATTGTGGCTAAAAGTGCAGGATAAATACAATGCTGACCATCTTAAAAGATGTATCTCACTCTGAGAGGAAACACTTTCCCTGGCCAGGATTGGAAACAAGAGCCCCTATCATGACCTAGCTTCCGAAATTATCTTCCTAATTTAGAATAAATTTCCAGAATAGATCATGAAATTCTACGAGATTCTGGCTGATGGCTTTATATTTACCTTCACATTTTAAGAGTCAAAGTCCAAAATTGAGGATCAAGAGTGAAGTTTTGCAAATCAATAATTAGGTAGTAGATCTGATAGAAATCAAACAACAGGCTGCAGTGACTGGGAAGAGTCTCATTGCATGAGCTATCATGATTTAGGCACAGCAAAGTACACAAGTGAAGCTTGTAACACAACATTAACAAGAATCAACTGCTTTTTTTTAAATTATTATTTGTATAAGAAAAGAAGTGCCTGCATGATGAAACTTTGAAATGCTGGTTAACAAATAAATTTTCTTGCAAACTCTTACCTTGTTAACATAGTGAATGAATTTGTCCATTTGCTTGAACCAAGACTCAGCATATTGGTACTGGAAATCATCACCCATTGTCCACATTACATGGTTATCCCTTGTCACATTTGCCTATACATCATGTGGCAATAAGTTATAATCCTTAACATCTTTCAAAATTTCTATTCAACTTGCACAAGTAGAGACATCATGTAGTGTGTTCCCAAACGCAATGAGAATATGCAAAACCCTTTGGTGAGAGACAATGAAAAAGAAGATAGGAAGAAGAATTTACTTGGGTCAAAGCAGCCTCAATAAAATCATTAACACGTTGCTCAACATTGTAGTCCTCCAGTAGGTGATTGTCCTGCAGTCATAACATGTGACAGATGAGGAGACAAACTCAAAATAATTAAACATCATCTGATAACATTTCGGTAGACTTAAAATCTGTAGAACATTAGGACCTGGAGAGTCTCAAAATCATCAAATACTTCAAAATGGAAACCAGTTGGGGGACTCTAATGAACTGGAAAGGCATTGGCAAAAATCTGTGAACAACAGAGACGAGTATTAATTGATCAATAATATTAATTCCAAAGAAAGCACTAACAAAGCAAAGTTGCAGTTTTGGACCTGAGACGAAGAACCAAAAGTCTTGGAACCTCGCCATATAACTTCAAGAGATTTATCACCCTTGCGCTTTGCTCTGTCTTGATAATCAATTCTGGCAAAATGCACAGAATCAAACCCCAGCTGTAACATAAATTTTGATCAATTAATAACTACACAATGACAACAAAGTATTCAATTAAATTATGCAGACAACTTTGCCATGAAATTAAGAAAAAAGAAATCGTTTCAATTATTAGTAAGAGTGAAAAGGATACATTGAAACTTATTCACTATATTGACAAGCTGAAGTATGTTTATAAAAATAACCAGCTGAGCATATTCACAACCACATTGAGTGAATCATAACTAATAAAATCGTGTACCTCATCTCCAAGTAGGTAAGCTTGTACGGCAGAATGTCCAAACGGATCGATTTGCCATCCAGCCCGAGGAGTGTGGTTAAACTGCTCTTTTATCAAACGATGACCGAGTGTTGTTTGGTCAATCATATCTATGTAATGGGTTGTTGCTTCATCATGCATACACCAACCACCGTTTCTGCAGATAGACAAAGGAACAAACTCTTCTTATATTCAAAAAGAGTAATACTAAGTTTACAACCTAATCTTGCAACCGTCGACGTGGTAACTCGTCATTGATAAACTCACAAAATGGGTTCCGTCTGGTTGTAAGAGTCTCACCTGCCGATTTGTGAGCTAATCAATGACGAACTACTATTTCAGGAGTTGTGAGAGAAAGTTGTAGACCTGATATTATTGATTCAAAAAGAGTAACTCAAAAATAAGAGCTGCTAATAACTGCATACACGAATTCCAATCGGCCGCCATCTACAAGTTTTCTCACTTGTTCTTGTATTTCTGGACTTTGTTCTACCCACCATCGTTGGAAAAATGCCTATAAATCATATCAAATTAAATTGTTTGATGATGGTAACAGCTAGGATTAGAAATCAAGGCATCCAAACCCAATTGACAAAAGAAAAGCATTTTTGCAAAATGCTTCTTAGTTTCTCTCAAGATAAACTGATTTCGAATTGTTAATATAATTCTTTACAATCCAAACTACATGAAGTATGATAGACATTCATATTATTCCATCATCAACCACTTAAAATCAAAGAATCAACAAAAGTTACCATCTCAGCAAAAACAAATTTCCTGTTTGGATCATGAAGCAAGGCTTCCACGACCGAGTCCAACACATTCTCTACACAAGCACCCTGCACAAAAACAACATTTTCATAATAATAAATCAGATAAACAAAACATAAAATTCAGCAACGAATTACAGTAACAATAAGAACCTGAATGCTGTTATTTGATCCAACGAAGTACTGATCAACGGTCTTCAACCATCCAACATCATCATGAGAATGGGCAACCAAATGAACATTGAGTTTGCCTGGTACAACACCAGCTCCAGTTTTGTACTTCACATAACCCCCATTAACTGTCAAAAACAAGCACAACATACACACCAAAATCGAAGTTAAACTACCATTAGATAGTTCTTCCATTTTACTCAAATTAAAAATTTGTTCAAATAGTTGAAGCCTCTTAATCATTCAAACTTATAGATACAATGCATACTGCGAGATGAAGACAAAACTTTTATAAGTTGGGCAGTCTGAATGGTGACAAAACACAGCCTAGTTTTTTACTGATAATATATGGCGGCCGGCCAAATTACGCACTGGACGTGAAGTGGAACTTTATAATAAAGTGAGTCCATATCTGAATTAATAATAAAATCTTAAAGACGTCAAAAAGGCACATTAAGGAGGGAGGTTATCCAGTACACTCACGCTTACTGTTACGGCATCTCCTTACCATTGGATGCATTTTTGTGTACCCTTTACTGTGAATCTAAGGTTCTAATCTACAGTCAGTATTTATGTAAGTTTAAAATTGTGGTACCCACATGAAATGTTTTTACGTTAGCCGTTAGATAAAGAAAAAAATATGCATGAGCAATCGTATCCTTTGACATGATCATCATGAGGTGTATGGTAAGATATGGGTGAAACCACACTGAATCAGAGATTTTGTATATAAAAAGATCATAACAATAATTTCACAATCAGATATTTTATTCAAATTAATAAGTAATTTATGGGTAAGCTCACAGACATAAGTATTGTAAAGAGGGGGACAAATCGGAGTTCGAGAACTAAATAAAGCCATTAATTACAAGTGGGTCCACAAAATTTAATGTACAGACTACAGAGCCCATGTGATGTTTATATATGTGTCCATTTAACTTGGTCTTACAACAAGAGTAAACGACTTTGTCCCACCCAAGAGTTCAAAAACTTTCAAAATACCACTTTCTCATCTAAACTTAATATCCCGTTACTATCTAAAGCAGATTATGGCCTATTCTGACGGCAAATTTTTTTTTTTCTGTCACAGCTATTTAAACCTTCGGTACCCTCTCTACAAAAAGCCTTTTACTCTAGTGTCTGATTTCTCGTCGATTATCAGCCATCACAAGGTTAAGATTTCATATTTTTAAATAATTTTTGGCTGATTGCGACATCGAATATTTAATTGATCACCATCATTCGATCCACCGCCTCCACTCTACAAGAATCCTCTTACTCTGGCTTCTGATAACTCGTCAAACACCGGCTGAGAAAGTGAAGTGTATTTTAAGTATTAACGAAATATAAACGTTGGGTGAGAAAATGATATTTTGAAACTTTTTGGGTGAGAAAAAGTCGCTCATTCTTACAACAAAGTTTATAAGGGTAAACTTTGGAATTAAATTTAAGCACCTTAATACTGTCAATATATATATATATATATATATTTTTTTTTTTCCCTATTTTATTGGATTCATCAATTGGATCTTCTTGGAATCAGTTTGCTTCTGCATTGTTCTCTTATTCCTGAGTTTGTTTGATTCTACTTTGTCTGTGGGTAGAAAATTAGCTATCGGACAACTACTAGCAAATATATGTTGGGACAATTTTTTAAATCACCCTGAAATTTGCCATAATTTTACATGTACAAAAGGTTTTGATTTTTGTCACCATAGCCCCTTTTTTCTGCTTTATTTTCTCACACTTATGATGTAAGGGTGAATTGTGTTAAGAAAATATTTAAATATAATTCTTTTTATATCTATTCTAACCTAATTCAGTCCGTCTCTTATTAAAATCGATGAATTTTAGGTGAATTTACTCAAGTTATGCATACCTATAACGGTTACGCGTTATCTAATTTTATTCTATGGATTAACCATAAAAATTAATTATACAATTTTTTTTTTTTTTCTAAAATATTTGTATAGTTACTAAATTTGGAAACATATATAGTAAAACGTAAAACTAAATCATTAGACTTATGGTAAGACGACAAGACTTTAGTCATCAGGATGGGTTATCTAGAAGTCTTGTGTTCGAGTCCCGTAAAATGGTCACCTATCATATTTGTGACTCACATAACCTATTGGGCTTATAGAGTGATTAATAGATTCCGAAAATTAATTAAGGTGTGTGTACAAGCTGCCTCGAACACCCTGCTTATTAAAAAAAAAAAAAACCAGTTTTATATTTATTTGAATCATATTATATGGTTGTTGATTATCAACTGATATATTGAATGGAAAATAATACAGTTATCGAATGATGCACACCGAATTTGTGCATCGAATAACGTGGTACAATCCTAACCGTCGATTAATATTAATTCATAATTAATCGACGATCAAGATTACGTCATGTCATTCGGTATACGAATTCGATACATATCCTTCGGTAACTGTAACATTACTCATATTGAATGCGGTGATTGGTAATGGTACAAATGTTGAAATATAGTTATTGTTTGATAATAAAGCTCTTATCAATAAAATTTAATATAATAATTAATTACTTATTATTATTATTTTTCAATATAATTCAACTTTAGACCTTAATAGAAATTACCGGATGCGGATGGGTTAACCCCACAACCCAACCCAAAAACCGAATGGGTTTAATCAGATTCAATCCAGTCTTTACCCACAAGAACGACATTATACTTCTAAGCTTATAGGGTAAACGACATGTAGTTACTGAACTTATAGCTGTATAATGTATACATTGAAACTACTGTATTTGAGGTAGTAATTACTATTCTCTGATTTCATAACAAGCAATCTGGTGATGATGGTCCTCATCAATGATCATCATCACTCAAATCTGTCGTAGTGCTCAGGATCTGAGTAATATGGAACCTCTAAGTTGCCATCATATGGTGATATTTCAAATATTGGACCTCCTGCCTCTGATGTATCTTGTTGCAGGACTGTATCTTTGAATGTTGAAGAGCTTCCTTCCATGCTGCTTGGTGGGGCGGCGAAGTCATCGGTTTTGTTTGTATCATCGATCAAAGAATCTAACGACGTGGTAGATGTTGCGTTGACGAGTGTAAGTAAAGAAGAACTTCGCTTTGCCTTTACTCGTCTCCGCCATTTAGAAAGTGACTGTCTCACATGTTCAGAAACTACTGATTTCTTCAACGTTGAACCCATCTAGAACCACCAAACCAATCAGTAAGTCATGAAGATAAGAGAAAGGAAGTAGTTCTGAGACGAAGGAAAAGCTAAAACCTGTGTAACGATAACATATAGCGGGAATGTGATGAAACTGCACCAGCACTGGGTGACAACACTGCATAAATCAAGAAGCAGAAATCAATACAATTTACAAATCAGTGAGACGACTCTTTATACCATGTAAGATGAACATGTAATTCAATCATGGGAAAATTGCAGTTGGCTTATAGACATTGAAAAAAGGATAAGAAATTAAGAATACCCGAATGTCAGGCGGATCACGACAGATTTCCGGTTATCCATAAAGCAAGAAGGTCTGTTGATTTCCCACTGGAATCAAACATTATAAAACTTCATGAATTAGTATGATAAAATTTGTTTATGATTAAGTGGGCTTGGGTAGAACTGAAGCCCAAAAACTAACTCAAGGGAGTAGAGAGCCCAACCACTTATATATACTATAACAGTCCACTATTGGGGCGATGTGAGACAAATTTAACTTCTTTCACCCTCTTGCACATCAAAGAAGGTCGAGGTCTAAACCTATCATCGCCCCAACCAATATAGTGGGCGATGAAACAAATTCAACTTCTAACACCCTCTTGCACACCGAGCGTGCAAGGCCAGGGTTCCAACTCATCATTGCCCCAACCAATATAGTGGGCAATGTGAGACAAATTCAACTTCTAATATCCTCAATCCATCATCGCCCTAACCAATATAGTGGGTGACGTGAGACAAATTCAACTTTTAACACCCTCTTGTACGTCGAGTGTGCAAGGTCGGGGTCCAAACCCATCATTACCCCAACCAAAGAGGGGAGAAAAACGAGCGTGTAAGGCCGAAGTCCAAACCTATCATCGCCCCAACCAAAGAGGGGAGAGAAACAAACGTGGCTCTGATACCATGATAAAGTAAGCTTGAGTAGAATTCGCTCTCAAAAGTTAGCTCAAGGAGGAAAGAGTCCAATTACTTATATATACCATTACAACCCATTATTATTGGGGCGATGTGGGACAAATTCAACTTTTAACAGTTTCATCGTATATAAAACATAATATCAGAAATACCTTATCCTTAACATATAAGAAAAACTATAAATTTTTTAAGAAAATAATAAACAATTCTTTCATGTATTTGCTTGGCAATCTGATTCTTGAGAAATTGTCAGGATGGAAAATCAAGGATATCAAAGAACTGATTGATTTGGGTGGACAAACTCAAGTGTAAGAGAAGAGTACATGGCTACCTCTACTGTATTTCCTGTAATCAGTTCCATGATTAATATTGAAATGTTACCCTTAGCAATGCAACCGAAATCTTACCAGGGACCAAAGAAATGTTGCCATCTCAAATGCATTCTGCAAAGATCAAATGCCAATCTACAACATCAAAATCCTGTCAATTTCACAATTGAATATGGAAGCAAAAACGGAAGTTAGTTCCTCTCAGTCACCTGGAATGATATTAGTTGTATCAAGTGCAACAGAATCTTGGGCTTCCCAAACCAGAAGAGATCATCTCTAAGGTTAATCTGATTGTTTCCCTCCCATGGGCATTTATCCATGATTTCAACAGCCAACTTTACCACCACGCGGTGTAATTTTGTGCCGATCAGCAGTATTAACTTTATGCACATAAAATGTAATACACAAATACAGAGAGTGACAGAGAGAAGATTAGTATGGTTGTAGTTTAAATAACATCTTGGAGAAGCTAAAGGAGATGTAATTATGAGGACTTACAATTGCGGGAAGGAATGAAAGCCAAAGGTAAGCATTAGTTCCTGGATGAAAGCATAAATCCATTCTCCGGGGATTAGTTTGATCCAAAAAAAAAGGGAAAATTTCATAAAATAATTTAATGCTAAAGGGATGCATAAATGTTGCAAAGAACTGAATTGATAGTGAGTTTTACATGCAGCGTTCTCCAAATGACTATCACCATGAATTGGGCCACTACAGGTTCATCAAAGTCAGTGCAAACGCAGAATAGTAAATTCCACTATTAAACAGTGTGGTTATGAACTTAGATATGGTTGCTTTAAACCATAGCTAAGCTCTTTGACTACTAGTTAATCAACAAAGAAGAGTTACCATGAAAATCCAGAAAGATGCAAAACACAGCATAAATCCAGAGGGGCACACTGCAGAAGAAGTCCAAAGGAAGAATGATAAGAACAAAGCATTCAAAGAAAAAAAATATTGCCTTTCATACTCTTTTAAGTGTTCAAAACAAACATGCATTCTTAAGTATCATTTCAATGTAGTTTCAATGTGAATATACTAGTCCATTTTAGTGCTGCAATACAGAATATTCAACAGAACAGATGGTGTAAATTAATATAAGAAAGAAAAGAATGCTAACATGAAAGATGGTGCAAAACATAGTACCTAATGCCGACAATATCACGAAATTCTTCTTCCATGCTTCGAAGCATATACTTATGGAAATCATATGTCAAAGGAAGTTGATGAGTCTACAAACATAAAAAGGCAGGTCCAGTAAGATCTTAGTGATTGCGAATTCTGTTTTATCTTCTCAGCCATCTTTCTTTTGCAATATGAAAAACGAAAAAAAAAAATAATTATATATATATATATATAACTGGGATTCACCAGACCTCCTTGATCAAAACAATTAAGAAGACCTACCATTAAAACTAGATAAAACTTACAGTGATGAAGCCCAAGCGCAAAGCCATATAGTCAGCTCGATGTATAGAAGTCCAGAATTGGCGACTGAAACAAAGCTGCAAATTTATGTATTTGACAGATAAAATATCTGGGGTAAAACTAATATAGAACCTATTGTATGCAGGCAACTAAAGAGTTTCAATAAGAAGATTACAACTGAAATCAACTGTTGCAAGAGTGAATCAAAACCTTGGTTACTTCTTTTGATGTCTATGGCTTCTATCAAGCTTTCGGATATGGTCTATTTTAAACAATATAAAGGGAAGAATACTAATTGAAGGGTTAGAATCATTTTAACAGTGTCACTTTCACACAGATCCATGGACAGATTAGTTTCAACACGAAGTTTAGTGATACCTTTATAAACACATCACAGAGAGCATTAACATCTAATTTTAATAGATCTTCAAGGGGACATATGTTTGTTACTGAAAACTTAAGATAATAGGTAAGAGCCACCTATCTGGAGCGGCTAGATTTAACAAGAACTGCAAAATTTACATCACTTTCTTTATCAGTTAGTACAGATAGGATAAGTTCAACCAACTTTTATATGTTTGAGTACATTAAAATCAAGATCAAAGAATATGCTTCACAAATATGAAGAAGAAAATACGCTATCTCATGTAAAGAAAAGGTAAAAAGTATAAGATTTCAAGCATCAGATTACCAGCCAAACCAGAATTCCATGCTGGCTCCATGGATGGGAGGTGTGGTGAAAAACAAAGGTAGACAGTCGCATCAATTTTCTACTGCTTGATGCATCTTCTGATGAACCTAAATTTAAGATATTTAATAAAATAAGGAAAATTTTGTGATTTGTGAGACCATCTAACATGAATCATAGTCAGAAATAAACAGCAAAGAAGACCTTCAATCATTGGCTGGAAAATTTTGTACCTTGGATACTCTGAATGGCCATGGTCTTAGCTTGATTTTCCCATATTCTCCAGCTATATATCTGTATGAACAAAAACAGTAAACTTAGTGCTATCTCTGTAAAGATTAAGCTCTGGTATGTGCACTAAAGTACACAAACTTTCCAGAAGTAAAATAACCTTAATCATGCCCAAGGCAATGGAAACGAAGCTGTAAGAAACATGAGTAACACCAAGAACAAATATGAAACGATGAAGCTGCTCAAGACTTTCGTATGAAGCAAAAGATTCACGGCCCTGGGAAACAAAGAACAAGTTTCAAAAAGTTGAAGCAACATACAGTTGATATTTATGAAGAAAAACAAAATCTCTACATATTTAACTATTTTCATTACTTAATAAAGAGAGAGTACTCCATCCATATCCCTTTCCTTCTAGTGGGATGTTCTTTATTTTCTATTCTATCATTGGTTTATCAGCTTAAACTAGGCTCCATTTTAGCATACCTCAGGACAGTATTGATGCTGCCTGGTGTTCAACTGCTCTCCAACAAGCGTTTTATTCAAATAATCTGAACTCGAAACTGAAATGCGCTGTACCGATCTCGAATAACCCTTCAGTTCACATGGATAGAACTTGCTGCTCAAGGCTGATGATTTAACACAAATTTTTGCCACAAATACAATCCAGTGACCCATCAACAATGACAAAAGGCCAAAAAGCATCAACTCTGTTCACAGATAACCAGAATATGATAAAAATCAAAACTCAGAACATGTCTACAACATATTGAAAAAATCCATCTCTACAAATTTAGTTCTCTCACCATCTTTGATCTTAGCCAGAGCAGCAAGTAGAGATTTTCTCTTAGTCTTGTCCAACCACTATGAAAAGACAGATTGAATCAATTACAACACCAGTTCATGACAAAATAAATAAATAAATAAGCATGTAACTAAATCAACAAGCTGTGACTTTTACCTTCCCAAACTGTTTCAGAATGGTCTGAAAGAAGAAGCCAAGAGTTACCATAAAAGTGACCACGGTGGCAACAGCCCAAGTAGGGGTCTCAGCCAATGATCGTCCTTCTCTTACCTGTTGTTCCACCATTTCTACACTAAACCACCACTAACCCGGTTGACTTCAGCTTTTGGGCAGTCAATACTTCCCACAAGTGACCTGAAAAACTAACACCCAATTCCTTGTTTTGTATGATTCTAATATTAATGTTTCAAGCCATTAATGAGGACAGTGGGATGGTGGGCTTTAGTTGTGCCATAAACTTGAGACCTGAGCAGCAGAAATATTTAAGACAACATGCTTGACGTGTTTAAAAAACAAACCAGTTTGAGCATAATGGGTCCACTTACCGAGATCTTCACCAGTTGAATATTCATGTTCAATCGTCAACGTGACTGATGTCTTTTTGTCATATTTTCCCGTGAAAATGAAAGCGAATCATGATTGAAGCATGCTGGGTGTTTTTTTTTTCTACATATTGACACGAAAAGAACACTGATTTGGACCATATTTTATTATTAGTTAATGGCCGAACGACTGCACGCACCCATAGTTTACGTAAAGACTCATTGGTACCCAAAAAGTTTAGAAATGACAAATACCTATTTTTTATAAGATTCTATTAGTGAATTCCGTCTGTTGAAGGCAGTGTGATAATTTTAGTTTAGCTTAAAAAAAGCAAACAAGTGATGGACATTTTCAAATCCAAAAAATTTTTGGTCGCCGGCGGCAAGGAAATGGTCAGGAAAATCTTACAATCAGTCACCAATAAGCCTAGACTCCAGCAATTAATTGCTGGGTAGACTGAGAGTTGGATGTGGCAAAAGGTCGAACGGTGGTGGGCGACAATAAAGCAGCAAGTTGGAGTGATGGGGGAGCGGCCGACGACCTAGAAAAAATACCACAACAGCAACGCAAACACTTCTAAACAGCCACCCACCCATCAAACACCAAAAAACCAGCAAAACGCGAGAGAAAAGGCCGCGCCGACAAATGCAAGTCGTGGGCGGCAAACGGCGAGTGGAGAGTGCTAGTGGAGGAATGGGTTTTGAAGAGGAGAGTCAGGTTGCTCAAGATCAACAATTATTTACCCCAAATAATAATAGTAAGAAGAAAAAGGAAGAAGAAGAAGAACAAATCTTAAACATTAAGATTAAAAAGCATATTATCAATTAAATAATCTTGATTTTACAGAGATATGAATGAAAGAATGGAGGAGGAAAATCTTGTATTCACTAACTCTAATTCCTATGAATCAACTAAATTCCCTTAAACAAGTAAAAACTCTTCACTTGAGAGAGAGAATATGTTTGTAGCTCTTTAATAAAAAAGACACCAGCTTCTTCAACAATAATAAGCAGAAAACTGAATCAATAGGAGACGATTGTCTAAAAACAGTTGAGTCCATCCAACTCTGGAGCAAATCCAGTCTTCCCAAAACTCGATTTGATGAAGATGGACCCACTTGCTTCTTCTCCACGTGGGAAGTTTTATTCACCCTTGTAGAATCTTTCGACTCCGACTGCATGTTGTTAACCTTCTTGATTGCAAAAAGAAAAAGAAGCCCTCACCTTCTGCCAAGGAATTTAGCACAGAAAGCATCAAAGCTGTTGAACATCGAATTCATGGTTGCTAGAGAGACTTGATTTTGATTGAATATTTCTAAAACCGATTTTTCAAATCCAGTTGGGGATAGAGGAGGATAGTGATGGGAGGTGAGATCAACAGAAAAGGTGAATGAACAAGGAAAGAAAGCCGACGACGGCAACTGCTTTGAAGAAGAAAGGTGGAAGATGGAGAGTTGATGGAAGAAATGTAAGTTTGACTAAAGGAGAAAGGGATAAAATGACATAATTATCCTTTATTTGTTTCTGAATTTACCACACTGTCCTTCAACTGACGGAATTTACTAACAGAACTTGACGGAGAGTGAGAGTTTGTCATTTCTAAACTTTTGGGTACCAACTGTCATTATGGAAAACTATGGGTGGGTGCAGTTATTCAGCCTTAGTTAATTAGTCTTTGACTCCTTGAGACCCGCAACGCAATGGTAAACACGGTACACGTAGCGTGAAAACCAGTTATATATCCTGGGGCTTGATTATTACTGTATTTTAGTTTGAAATTTTCTTTGTATATTATATTATTACTGAATAAAAAAAAGCTTAAATTTCCCAGTCATATCTACAAAAAATGAAAACAGAGTAATAGAACCAAAAAGATATTCCATTCTCTGTCTCTTTTAATACTATATTATCAATACAAGTAGTTTCTGCAGGCAGGAATGATAAAGCTCAAAACTTGCCACATGTTCATAATAAATATTTCATTTATTGATGTTAGATGATAGGTAAGGGCCGTAAGAGTTAAAGCTTACCTAATTCTATTAGGCCCTCTGTGAGCTAGCGATAATAATTTCCCCTATTTCAAGACTTTCTTGCCAATATATGAATGTGCAGAACAAAATTGTTGTGCAAATCATCATAGGGTCTTTATTCATACTTAAATTATCTTCTGTAATACATGAAGAAATACAGAAATTTGCCTCAATCAATCAAAGCTCATCTTCCTTTGGCTTTTGATCTTCTGGTTTTTCATCATCCACCTTCACTTTAAGTCCATTCTGCACCCAGGCCAAGTACCCTCCTCCCATGTTGCTCACATTTTTGAACCCCTATCATTTTATTCACAGTTTTGCTTTCTCAGTATTTTGCATTTTCATTTGAATTAAAAGGGGCAAGTAATTTTATCAGAACATTGCTTTGGTAAATTATGAATTAAGAATGTGAACTTACAACACTGAGAAGATCAACTGTTGCATAAAGAGATCTGACTCCACTTTGACAGCCCTATTTACAAAATCTCTCACATGTCATTAAACTATATAATTTTTATTACTGGTCTAAATTGTTCAAATTAGATTAGTCAGAACTGTAATGAGAATTAAAGAAGATGAGAAATTACCACGACATAAAGATCTTCCTCCTTGCAAAGGGATGTAACTTCCTTCAAGAAATCAGGATTCTTCACTCTACCTGAAACCATAAATCATATGGTTTAAAACTCACTGAACTGAATTACTAAAGAAGTTAATTTAGAAGGTAAAAATCATTAGTAAATTAAAAAAAAAAAAAAAATTATACCCTCTGGAGTGTTAACCATGTAAGGAATGTTCGATATTTTAGTTGCATCCACATGACCTTTCTTGTACTCTTCCACAGTCCTAGTAGATTAGACCAAAACTCAAAACTTTATCAGAAATGGAAAGAAATTCCAATTAAATTTAGATAACTGTTCAGGGTTCAAGCTGAAAGATAAAAAAATTATTCAAATTGATAAGTTGGAACAGAGATAAAGAGTACCTAACATCAAGATAGCCGTAGCCAGAGTCAAGCAGATCCTTAGCTGCACGAACATCGATAGTCACAACTTCTTCAGCTCCACCGCTGCAAATTATAAGATAGAAAAGAAACAACCCATGAAGAGCAAGAAACACAGCCCGAGAAACACCCATATCAGATTAAATGAAATAACAAACTAAAAACTCTGAAACTATGAGATAATTAAGTTGTGTGAAAAGTTCAAAAGAATTGAGTGTGCAACCCGTTTTCAACAGAAGCCATGAAGCAGAACTTCCGTTTTATAAATGGAACTTTTTGGGTAAGGTTCCAGGAAATCTGGTAGCGGTGTTAGCTCGTATTTGACTGTGAAAAACCAGCTGAAGAAGATAGAAAGTGGGGTAAAGTCAGCGTTTCGTAAGGATGTTATTACTCGAAACTGCTGCCGTCATTTTAATTATTCCGTGGGAACAACTAAAGCAAAGAACTTTTTACATCGTGCCAAATTAAGACATCCAACTAACTGTTGATTTAACTGGGGATTCGATTCCATGTGCCACTCACTGTCTTCCCATTGCCACGATTAGAAGGCAACGAAACAAACAAGTGGGTGTACCAGACCATTATTTTTTAAGAGTAAACGACTATTTCCCAGCCCAGGTTTGCCTTAATGACATTTATCACCTAAAAAGTTTCAAAATATCACTTTTCTATCCAAAATTTATATTTTGTTGATATCCAAAATACACGTTACTTTTTCAACCAGTGTTTGACGAGTTATTAAGAATCAGGGTATGAGAGATTTTATAGAGTGGAGGTCGATGGATCTAATGGTGGTGATCGATTGAATATTCGTCTCTAGAATCAACTAGAAATAAGCAAATAAAAGAAAACCCAAACTTTGTGGTGGTCAACAATCGAAGAGAAATCAGGGGTCGTAATGAGAGGAGTTTTGTAGAGAGGAGATTGAAGGTTCAAATGGTGGTGACCGAGAGAATTTTTACCGTCGTGATTGGGTTTGAGTAGTAACGAAATATTAACTTTGGGTAAGAAAGTGTTATTAAGGCAAATCTTGGGTGGAAACAATTGTTTACTCTATTTTTTTAATTACGTTGTTACTTAGGATTGATGCAAATACTATCTTTGGGAAATTAATACTATTATGCCATGTGTCCCAACTATGCAACTGTCCAGGTCGCATGTCACTCTGCGAAAGGATTACTTCATTTGTAAATTCACCACAAGTTGCTTCACTAATAAGTCTTAGTGCTAAGTGTCATCCCATGAGAGGGTTACTTCGCCAGTAAGTCTCTAAGAAAGGCGGTTTGTCAAGCCACGTGTCAAGCTATGAAAGAATTACTTTACCAATAAGTCTACCGGGACAACAGAATATAAAAAGATCTCTCATCCTAATTCAAGGGGATTTTTGGGGGAGCAATTATACACTATCATACCAATATAGACCATCCAGCTTGCTTGTACTTGTAAATAACACACAAAAGATCAATAAAATAATATTAGAGGAATTTGAACCTTGCATCCAACCACTTTTAAAAATTCTTTGTTTCTTATATTATTTTTCCATTTTAGTATTAGTTCAACACTACACCGGTTTATTACAAATCTTTGTGTAGATCTCCTCACAAGATTTACGTACTTCTTATTAGTGCAAAAAATCATATCAACAAATACTAATAAACCTGATAGAGTTTATACCAATGCAAAGTATAACCATTTCTTTAAATATGATAGTAATTCATTAAAAATATCCATTAAAGAAGCACACTCGAGGGTGATAATAAACTCTAAAAAACATACATATAAAATAAATACAGGATATATATTTTTTCCATATTAATTTGATTGATTCATATCATAACTTAGCATTACATATGAATAAACTTGATATTTCATTTCTTAAAAAAAAAAAAAAAAAAAAAAAGTTTGTTCATACCCCTGCCGGATTGTATTACAAGAAGGAAATACGAACAGATTTGATTAAGGTACATACATTGTGTCATCTGTACAATAGATAAAGCTAATTTTAAACAACTTTCAACAAACTATTTACACACAACAATCTCAAGCCTGGAATCTGGATTGAGCGGCTCAACTATCTACAACTGTTGCACTGTACATAGCAAATAACCAAAACGACTAACCTGGGGCCTTTCCTGGAAAAGGCAAAAATCAGGGATAATGACAACAAGAACTCCCCAGCGGCAGTTGCTTGGCTGGAGATGCCAGGACACTTCTATTCACATTGTCCCTGCTGCAGATCTTCTGTCCAAGGCTATATCAGCATTATACTCTATATGTCTTCAATACTCAAGAGAGAACGAGGAATGGATAAAACTTCAACCCAGTTAAAATTGACATCCTTTAAAGATGAAAAAGAAACTTCAACCCTGAATCAAAGGAAAGAAAGATAGAGAAAAGAAAGTCAAACTGAAGAGAAGAATTTATAGAACAAGACTTGAACCAACTATGGATTTTAGATATACTAAATGATTGAGCTATAAAATAAAATATATACAATTCCTCCAACAAATCAAATTTTGAAAGCATCTGGAGCCCAAAAAATACAAAAGAAGGGCAAAACCCAGCCTAAATACCCCTTAGCATGGTTAACATAATAAAGGAGTTCTAACTCAACACTTCATCCAGTCCATAAACGAGTGAACTTCCCCAGCTCCATACCAGAGCAGAAGGAAACACAAATTCATCTTTTACAATAGGGTCAGTTAGCATACCTGATTTCAATGACTAGCCAACTATCATTCCAGTTTGTCAATTATATGGCCAATTTTGCATCTTGACCTGCAAGAAAAAACTCGGAATTCATACAAGAATAAACCATATCTGGTACCATACACATCAATGTCTACTGGAATCTCTAAGACAGTACAGAAACAGAAGAATTTTCCCAACATCAGTATCTACAAAAAAACTAAACAGTCATTCCTACCAATATTGCTATCACTTCATTCTAAGTTCAGGCATGTCACAGTATCCATGCAATTTTACATGCTACAAACTTTCAAATTATTGATTAAGGACAAAAACTATAAGTGATGTTCTTCTTCCCACACCATAATTGTTAGGAAAAGGGTGTTAACCAATTCTCCTACAAGCTTAAGTTATTGAAGGTGCTATTTAATCCCTTAAAGGAAATGGAGAACTCCACACTAAACAACATGCATAAGAGGCATAAAAGTCCAGGCCTAAATAGATTTTTCGCTTTGGGCTTCATGCAAATGTCCTTCACCTACACAAAGTTGCTTCAGGGCTGTATGCAAATATCCTTCACCTATACTTAGTTGAGGGGACTCAAGGCTTATAACTAACTAATGCTCTCATTCATTAGCAATGTAGGATGTGACATAAGATGCTTTACAATGCTAAACACACATACAACATTAATGAAAGGTAGTGGCTAGTCCTCTCTATGATTACCCGAGTTTTCAAGGGAGCTTCGAGCAGCAAGGTAATGTTGGCCCCCCATAAACCACCCCCAAGACTGAGACTCAAATTTCTTACTTTGTTCAATTACTTGTTAAAAAATGGCTCAAAATTGTTAGGGCAAGGCACAATTTAGTTCTCACTAAATAGCAGAAAAACATGAAAGGCTTTGTAATGCTACTTCTATAACATCGAGGTGTAAGCAGTTAGTCCTCCCCACACTAGCTCAATTTTTTAGAAGCACTTTGAGTAACGGGGTAATGATGACCCCTACAAGCCAAAAATAATATGAAATACTAGTCCTACATGCCACCTATATCTGTCTACAATAAGTACTCCATACAACATAGCCTACCAAATCCAAGAATACAGAGGGTCAATATAGCCTACATACTAAAACCCAATGTGAGGATTTTGATGGTATGACACCAATAACATAACATTAAAGAAAAAATAATAATAATAGGAAACTACAAGGAAAAAGGTTGCCAGTGCTGATCAATATTTTTGCACAAAGTCTTTTCTTAGAGCGTAGTTAAAGACTTTTTGTTCTTGTCTTTGTATAATCCACTCTTCGTGATAATGAAAAAGTACGAAACTTTCTAAAAAGATACTCAAGAGTGTGTCTCTACATAAGTTAGCATCTTATATCATGTGTTTGATGTATTTAATAACTCTAACCCATATATCTAGTAAAAAATTTATTAACTTTCTACTAGTATTTGTATAATAGCATCAACACTGTAAATTTTTTTTATCAAAGATCTACTCTCCTAGTTTGAGTCATATCTGCAATGCAGTAAAGATACCCTCATTTCTTAGTCAAACCCAATATTATCAACATCTGTTGTAATGCATTTCATCTGTTCTCTCTTAGACTGATTATTTTACATTCATGTTGAGTGGGAGATGGTCTTTTGCATGTTGATATTTGGAGCAAGTTGTAAGTTCTTGAAGAATAAGAAATAGCACAAATTGTAAATGACAGTTAAAGAAATCATAACAAACCTAGAGTCACTGGTTTTATTTTAATATCCAACTTGGATATTACAAAGCTAAGCACGTGTAAAGAAATGCTTAATGGAGTCAAAGCTTGCATTGATACAGGAGACTGCTCCCACTCCAAATCCCCATGCCCTAGCTCCAAATAGCACTATATAATTCACTTGTCTAACTTGTGCCTGAACTTTTGACATCAGAAAATTCAAAGCAATGTCAAGTAACAGGAAAAAGTACCCACATAGGTATGCATAGACAACTTTCACTCCCATGGTTAATGTTACATAAAATGAAAGGCATAAATATTAGTTATATACACAGTCCTAAGTATAGTTACTATCATAATGTCAACTAAGCATGCATTGGAAAATGTATAATTTTTTCTAAGTGTGGCAGATGATACACTAAAAGCAAGGGATGACCATAGCTTACCACCTCAGGACATGCAATTTTGGTTCTTAGGAGATGATCACCAAAAAGAATTAACATATCTCTACAAAACTATAAACACTGGACAGCATCCAATCTGGGTTCTCATGAGAAATAAGCTAACAGAGTTGACATAGCTCCATAAAACACTAAAAAAATTGAATGACCTTCACTAACCCACCTCAGGACCTGCAGTTTGGGTTCTCATATCAAGCTTGCACACTGGGCAGAACGTCCCCCAGTTAGTCAGCCATGAGCCCACACAGCTTGAATGAAATTCTGCAAGCAGCTTTCAAGAAAATTAATCAATACTGGAAAATAGGATGCTGATTAAAATTCACTTTTTAATTGAGATGGAACTACATACAATTTACACTACTAAGTACATATGTCCCCCAAAAACTGCAACCAGCAAGCTAGTATGGTGATATTTAGTGCATCATTGAGTCAAAATCAAGTCTCAATGGTTTTACAGATGCATTATACTGCTTATTCTAAGTAATTTCAATCTACTGAAAAATCTGAAAAACACTAACAGCATAAGCGAAAACCTACTGTGTTGGCAGGGTAGAACTTTAAGTACTTCCCCATTTACATAATCCTCAAGGCAAATGGCACAAGTTTCTCCACCGTGGCAGCAACTCACAGAAGCAGGACCAAACGCAAAGCAAGGAAGAGTTTCCACTATCTGCGAATCTACGGTCCTAGGATTACGCTCATGTCTTCCTTGCCAATAAATCGAGCCCCTGGGAGTAAAATAGGCTAAAATCAAGAAAGCTACTACCACAGCAATTGATAATATCGATATCGCCAGCACAGTCCACATTCCTCCATTGTAAGGCTTCATAATGCAGCATTCACCCCTTTTGCCTTCAGCATGCTCCCTCAAAAATTTACCACCTTGATTTGTAGTAAATACAGCATGCACCTTTACTTCCTCACGTTTCATCATCACTGTGCACAGGCAACAGCCGATAGTTTAAAATTTTTATAATCTAATATTTTAAGGAAAAAAAAACATAATTCCGACAAATATTATTTGCTTACTGTAAAGCAAATCAGCTTTGGATCTATCATCGTAAACAATGGCGGCACGATATCCTGCCTTTTGAACGTTAAGGATTTTTTCCTCGAATGTACATTGACCTCTAACAATTAAAGCGAACCAAATTTTGTTTGATTCATCGAATGTTGAAACGTTGCGCACAGGAGAACATGCCTCCGGAGGATCTGCCACGTAGAGAGCTCCACATGTGCCAGACCTACCGACATCAAGAGCTGACAATATAAAAGTGAGAAAATTAACTCTTGAAAGAGGGGAGTAAGCTCTCTTAATTAGGATTAGGAAAGATCTGTTTTGTTACTAAAAACAAAAGGAGCATCTTCTCAATTTAGAATCCGCAGTATATCAACAGTATAAGAGTGGTATAAAAGAGATTACCGTATTTGGCGGGAAGGGCCGGATAGGAAACCAAGAGGGGTTTCCAAATAACAGTAGCAAAGGACAGTGAAACGACGACGCTTGCAAAAATTGAAAATCCAAACAATGCTTTTATCATAACTCTTTTCATATCACTTTCTCCCCTGCGATGCCTTAGATTTCCGATGACTAATACGGCGAGCAGCTACTCTTACTGAAGCTGCTCTTCTTTTTGGGGGCGGGGATCACGATGAAACGCTGCGTTTGTACTGAAGAGGTGAAGATGGATAGAGTTAGTTTAACAAGCGGACGTTAGAATGGTTAAGACATAAAACGTTATGACCAAAACGGTGTCGTATTCAAAGATAGGGTAAAAGTAGAAGTTAAAAGCCGCAGACTTGTGGAAACAACTGAACCACTCCATCTTCTACAAAAGCATCTAACAACTCAACTTTCTAGTTTTGTGTTAATGCCCAAATTACCCTTACCAGATGCTTTCCTCGAATTCCTTCGAGAGAATGGACTGGACCCTTTGATTTATACAGCCGCGGATTCAATTCCTCGATATATAAGGTATCACAGAAATTATAATAATTTTTTGTTTTCTAAAAGCAGCGAATTTTAATTGTTTATTTGAATTTTTTTTGTTTGGGAAGGTTGAAAGAGGGGAGTGAAGCTGACTTAGAAGAGATTGAAGCTGAGGTAGAATGTAAACTTGAGAAAGTCGTTTGGTTGGATGGCTTTTATGGACTTCCTCCTTATATAAAGATTACTAAGTCAAGGGCATATAGGGAAGGAAAGGTGATAAATTAAAGTCGATTGATGCTCGTTCATGATTCTCAAATATATATATGCTATTCATCTGTAATTTTGATTTTGCTCTACTTTTAACATGCAATGTTTGTTTCATTTTTGGTTAAATTCACAGTTATATGGAATGGATGCAGCTTCCGGAGCTGCTGTTTCGGCAATGAATCTCTCAGTGGGGGATCATGTGCTTGATCTATGTGCCGCTCCTGGTAAGAAAGCTCCTTCTATTCTTGTACTTTAATACTGTTCACGCGAACATGTGACTTAGTTATTCTTAACAGTTGATTTGATATGAGGGTATAAAATCGGTACTTAAAGTTATGACTTAACTAGTGATAAATAAGTTGACTAATATTGCATCCATGAGCGTGCAAAACTTGGAAAGGTTGATTCTTGTTCACTCTTCCTGGGTAATGCTTGATTATACCTTTTAAGTTACATATAAGCTGGAGCTATAAAAACATGAAAATTGAGAAAAGAAAAAAAAATGAATTCCAATTCTTTTTAGGTCAACTGGAAGATCTTATTTTAGTAATTAATACTGGATAACTGCCAACTTGATTCAAGAAACATAGGGATGAATTTTATTTGTGGGTTGTTATGATTTTTATAATGTGTTTCTCACTGATTCATGACCATAAAATCTTGCATTTTTAGGTGCTAAACTCTGTATGATTCTGGACATTCTTGGTAATTCTGGTTCTGTAACTGGAGTTGATGTTGCAAGACACCGTCTAGCAGCTTGTAGAACACTGGTGCAGAAATATGCTATAGGAGATAGGTGTCGACTCTTTGTTGCTGATGGAACAACATTTTCCCTTGTTCCCACAAGGCCTCAATTGAATTCTGGATCAATTAGTCAATCTGAAAGAAATGGTGATACATTATTATGATCTTTAAAGTGTTCTTTCAAAACATTTTAAAACTATGTTTGTAATCATTGACCTAATTTAATGTGTTGTCAGTATTAAACAGATGAATCTGCATTGGAACAAAGGTCAGAGACATTTAGGGAGTGGACTTTTAGGAGACCATGGAAAGAAAGAAAAAGAGCAGCTAAAGTGATGGCAAGTGCTGATTCAGAGTTGGTTCCCAGGAATGAACATCCTGAACTTATATTCTATGGGCGCCATTCTGGCATAGTTGGGCTCAGTAGAAGTGAATTGTATCGTAGTGTGTGTAACGGTGAAGTTTCATTGTCTGGCTATGACAAGGTAAAGTTGCATTTTAGCTTTGTATAGTTCCATTCTATGAATAGTTGCAATCTTCCATATGTACTCTTGTATGATTTTTTACAGCAGAACTAAATGTCCAATGATTGAAACTAATTTAGGTCCTTGTCGATGCTGAGTGTACTCATGACGGGTCAATTAGACATGTCCAGAAATTTGAGAATTGGGGCTGGGCAACCCTTCAACGCCGTGTTTTGGATGCAGATAGAACTGATAGTTTGACCAATCTTCAGGTAACTTGATTTACTCTTCTATTCTGTAAACCAGCCGCAACCCCACAGTATTTGTGCAACTCTCCACAACCACCATTTTTCTCTCTTTTTAGGATTTTTCCTAATTCCTTTATAAGATTTGGATTCTGATTTATGCATAAGTGTGAGAAAGCTTAGTGTTTTTGTTTGGCTTCCAAAAGGCTTTTAAATTGTAGAAACACTGCCGCTTAATGTATATTTATGATAGATTTTCTTCTTTATTTACATCTGGAATTTCCTTTTTTATGATAAACAGCATATGTTCTAATTACAATTGATATGAGCATTGTATTCCCTTGAAGTGTAATTTAATTGGAGTCAATGATTTAAAGCTGTATACATGGCTAATAAAAGAGATTAATGGTTTACCTTGATGGGTCTTCTACACCTTCATATTCTAATTTGTGAAAATAAGAAATAGATACACTAAAAGTCGAATGTCCCTTGAAAACTCGGGTAATCATAGAAAGGACCGGCCACTCCTTTTCATTAATGTTGTATGTATGTTTAGCATTGTAAAGCATCTTATGTCACATCCTACATTGCTAATGAATGAGAGCATTAGATAGTAATATTCATTAGTTAGTAATAAGCCTTGCCACTCGAAGTTAATTATACAGTTACATTGAGTTTTAACATTAATGAAAGGTAGTAGCCGTTCACTGTATTTGAAACTTAATTATACAGTTCCATGACTTTTTTACTCAACTAGAAGTTTTTCTCTTGCAGTTAAAACTTCTTACCAATGGTTTTAGGTTACTAAAAGTTGGGGGGTCGCTGGTGTACAGCACTTGCAGGTGCATTCATTCTTCACTTTCTATGGATCAGAATATGCGCTGATATATTTACATCGTCATATTTTCTTACATTTACCTTTTTGGTTGATTAGTTTGACAGTTGCTCAGAATGAAGATGTGGTAGAGCAGTTTCTAAAGGAAAATGCCTTTGCTGGTAGGGTCCTCTATGCTTTGAAGTGTAACATATAAAATCTCACTTTCTTAGAAATCATTAGTCGACATTCATAGCATTGAAGATAATATCCTGCAGTTTGATTAATCAATTGGAATTTTGCTTACTGTCTTGGAAGCTAATTTCCTAACATTTTGTGTATCATGTTTCTATGAGATTCATTATTTTTTAAGCCAATGTTTTATTACAGAATTGTATTAGCCTGAACCTGGCTGATCATTATCTTTCTAATGTTGCATATGGTGACATTTCCTTTTAATCTTGCAGAGTTGCAAGAAATAGATGCTGCCAAAGATTGGCCTTTCAGGAGCGGGAGGATACCAAAGACCTTGCGCTTTGACCCCTTAACGTCAAGAACCAGTGGACTATTTGTAGCAAAGTTCACAAAATTGGGCATATGATTTTCCTTTTTCCCCTATAAGATAATTTTGCCATATGTGCTCATAAGCTCCATGGTTGTCACTAAACGACTGTAGTCTTGATGATTAGAGAGTGATTACAATATTAACTTATTAGTGGACCATTTCTATTTGATTATGAAGTCACAGTAACTTTCTGCGTGCTCGATCTTTGTAGTTCGATCTGGCGGTGTACTGGTGTTTCTGTTGTGATTCATGATTTTATCAAATCTTGTTTTCATTATACTGATCACAGAGAATTACAGTGGAATTGACTGTAATTGGTGTCGTATTTTGGCTTTTTGGCTAGGCCTAATCGAAAAGAGTAAACAACTTTTTCCACCCAAGGTTTGCCTTAATGGCACTTTTCCATCCAAAATTTATATTATGTTAATATACAAAATATACTTCATTTTTTCAACCTGCTTTCAGCGAGATACCAAGATCCAGGGTAAGAGAGGTTTTGTAGAGTGGAGATCGGTGAATCGAATGGTGGTGATCGATTGAATATTCATTTGTCGAAATCAGTCGGAAATCAATTAAGAACAAGAAATCTTAATTTTGCGATGATTGATGATCGACGGGAAGTCAGATGTCGCAGTAAGAGGGGTTTTGTATAGAGAAGACCGAAGGTTTAAATGGTGGTGATGGAAAACATTTTTGCCATTGGAATCAGTCAAAATCGGCTTTGGATAGTAACGGAATATTAACTTTGGGTGAAAAAAAGAGTATTTTGAAACTTTTTGGGTGAAAAAAGTAGTTTACTCAATCGAAAACTTTGGGGTGCGTTTGGTTTAGTATTTTGGATAGGATTTTGGGGATAGTATTGGGTTATTTGATAGGGGAGTATTACGAGGTAAATTTTAAAAATTTGTAAAAAAACCCTTAGGTTTACTAATTTAATTAAAGATCCTAACAGATAAAATGACAAAAACACCTCCACCACCTGCAGTGCCAGATTCTGGCCACCACCACCGGAATCTGGCCGAAAAATTTTGTTACGGCACAAACCGGTCGGATCTGTGCTGTAACACGTCATTATGGCCTTTTTCCGGCCAGATCCATGGTGGATCTGGCCGAAAAAGGCTAGATCTACAATCTGTTATGGACGTCGACGGCCAGAAAAGGCCAAACGACGGCCATCTTTGGCCGTCGTTTTCGGTCAACGATGGCCAGATCTGGCCTTTTCCGGTCAGATCCGTGGTGGATCTGGTCGAAAAAGACCACATTGGTGAACTTCCAGCTATTTCTGGTCGGAAGTTAGGCCGTTGTATAGATTCCGGTTATCACCGATGATGGTTGTCGGAATCTGACAAGTTGGGTTGATGAGGGTGTTTTTGTTAATTTTTAAACTTTTTTAAGGGGTATTTAGTGAAATTAATAACCTTATAGGATCTAAAAATAATTAAAAAAATAGGATAATATTTCTGAAATAATGTGCCAAATATTATTTAGAGAATAAGATCTAGAATATGGATAAAAATACTAATCCAAACATAGACTTGTATATTGCCCTGAAAGCGGCAAAGTACATTGGATTGTCCATATTATTAATCATCTACATTCGAATAGTTTTCTTTGCCTTAGGCATCTGCTTATTTGAATATAAACAATGCGATTCACTTCATATAAAGCCAAACTGTCTTGATTTGTTGTGATGGTATTTTCTGCTGTTCATCCGTCATCAATGACCTCAAAAGGGCGCCCTTCAAGTACTTCTCAAATCAAACGGCTGGTCAACTCAACTAATCACAGATGGCATCGTTATTCCAACGGACAGGATCAGGCAGAGCATTGGTAATCATACGATGTTCTTCTTAAATAAAGTCTGATATTGGGCTACAAAGTTCAAAGGTCCAATCCAAAGCCCTTGATCCACGTCAACGTTTCAAACTTTTTTCGTGACAGTTTCCTGTGAACAGAATAAATGGCCACTGCTGCTACAGGCGGCAACGAAATCAAAGCTCCTCTTAGTAAGTCTTTAATTTCTCTTCTCTTTCATTACAAATTTCATTCACTTTCCTTCCAAACACTAACGAAGTTAAAATTATTTCTGTTCTCATGCGCAGTTCAGAAGATAAAATCCGGAGCATCAAGTTCAGGAACAGCGGCGGAGGATCCGTACGACGGTGAGAATTCACCTATCGAGCAAGTTGCTCTCACAGTTCCTACCACGGACGATCCTTCCCTCCCAACCTTCACGTTTCGTACGTTGATTTTAGGAACTTTATCATGTGTCCTCCTTTCGTTTCTGAACCAGTTCTTCTGGTACCGCAGAGAACCTCTGTCTGTTACTTCGATTTCAGCTCAAATCGCGGTGCTACCCCTAGGCTACTTCATGGCCAAAACTGTCACCGGGAGAGTCTTCTTCAAGGGACAAAAGTGGGAGTTCACGCTAAATCCTGGTCCCTTTAATGTCAAAGAGCATGTGTTGATCACCATCTTTGCTAATGCTGGAGCTGGCAACGTTTATGCGATTCACATCGTTAGTGTTGTCAAGATCTTTTATAAGAAGCAGTTGACGTTCATTGTATCGTTACTTGTCGTTTTAACGACGCAGGTGTTAGGATTTGGGTGGGCTGGTATGTTCCGTCGGTACTTGGTGGAACCTGCAGCCATGTGGTGGCCTCAGAATCTAGTACAGGTTTCACTGTTCAGGTACATTCGTTAATTATTGTTATTGTATTTCTATCATCTTAGTTTGTGGTGAAAAATCATTACGGTGGGAGTTGGTTCAATTTATAGTGTATTATATTTTGCTGCGTGTTCTGGTAATTTATGTTATTTGCTTTGTCAAAGTAATTAGGTAATTTTCATGTCTCAGTCTTGGCTTGTCGTTTTACGCATAAATAGTGGACCTGGTGGAAAGTGGTATCAAATAACTTTATTGGATTTTTAATTGTTTAATGGACAATTAACTATTGGTTCTTCTAATTATTATCTCTTTTCTCAAGATTAACAAAGAATTTTACTACGTATGGTTGAGTTTGTGAGCTTTGGGTGATCAACTTTCCTCTGATCATATGTATGAATATTGAAATTACAGTCCACACTCCTAAGTCCTAAGTTGAAACTTAAATATGTTAAATTGTTATGAGTGAATTAAGACATTTTAACATATAATTATGTTCTTGTTCAAGGCAATGAAGGAATATATCATGGAGAAACTCATTGTTTTGCTTTTTCCTCTCATTGTTAACTCGTGTCACACTTTCAGTAGTGAGTGTCACATTAAGCAATTCAACAGAGATTGCAAGATGTATGAGTTGTTGCCTGCTAATTACCACATAATTTTTTCTGTTATTTGTGTTAAAGCTTGCTATGGTAGCTTCATGTTTGATAGATGCCCAAGTAAAATTCTAGCTTTCCTTATGCAAAGAAATTTCTTGCTTAGGTTTATATATAAAAATATCAATTCTTGAATGGTACCATCCTTATAGCAGCATTCGAGCTGGTTATCAAATGTTGTTGTATTCATTGATATCATCTTTTTGTAAATTTCATGCAATCACAGGGCATTACACGAGAAAGAGGAGAGAATGAAGGGCAGACTAACGAGGAACCAATTTTTCCTAGTCGCGTTCGTTTGCAGCTTTGCTTATTATGTCTTTCCAGGCTATCTCTTCCCAATGTTAACCTCTTTGTCTTGGATTTGTTGGGTATTCCCTACTTCGTTATTTGCTCAACAACTAGGTTCAGGACTGCATGGTTTAGGTATTGGTGCCATCGGTCTTGATTGGTCAAGCATATCTGCTTACCTTGGGAGCCCACTCGCAAGCCCGTGGTTTGCCACTGCCAATATTGCTGCAGGTTTTGCCTTAACCACGTATGTCATTGCTCCCATTGCCTATTGGCTTAATATCTTTAAGGCCAAGACCTTTCCTATATTCTCAGACGACTTGTTCACCTCGACTGGCCAAAGCTACAATATTTCAGCCATTGTAGACCAAAATTTCCACATTGATATAGAAGCTTATGATCGTGAGGGTCCTCTCTACATGAGCACCTTCTTTGCTATGATCTATGGTGTTAATTTTGCCTGTCTAACTGCAACCGTTGTTCATGTTTTCCTCTTTCATGGGAGGTAAGCCACACTTTTTTGGGCTGATTTGTTTTCTTGAAGGTTCAGTGCTTGTTTGTCTGTTACTTTTTACTGATTGTATATTGTTTAAGAAAATCGTTTACTTGTTAATTAAAGGGCATCTTTCATCTGCCGATTAATCATAAGCATATTCCAAGCTGGTTACCTAGTAGAGGCTTTAATTTGGCATAAGAGATTAAAAAAAAAAAAAAAAAACACTTTTAAGCTGCAGATATGGATGCACTAAAATGTGCACAAACATAATTATGTAATCACTAAAAACTATGGCTCAATTTTTCTCTGATTCGTATATCTAGATTATGCATTTGAGGCTGGTTTGAATTTTCCAAAATGAAAGTATCCATAAGTTTAACTCAATATTTTATGGGTGCAGAGATATTTGGCAGTTAAGTAAGTCTGCCTTTCAAAATAAGACGATGGATGTGCACACAAAGCTAATGAGAAGATATAAACAAGTACCAGAATGGTGGTTCATGTGCATCCTTTTCATTAACATTGCAACAACCTTGTTTACATGCCAATACTACAAAAATCAACTCCAGTTGCCATGGTGGGGCATCTTCCTAGCTTGTAGTCTTGCCCTATTTTTCACTCTTCCTGTTGGAGTGATCACTGCTACAACAAATCAGGTAAAGTTGCGTACAATATTACAAGTTTCCACCTATTTTGTATAGTTAAAAATATAAAAAGTATGCTTTGGTGTGTTCTGTAGATTCTTTTGTCTTAGATTGCAAATAGTATAATAAGTCATTGATCATAGTCCAGAATTATAATCTCATTACCGTCGATGGAGTGTTTGTGCCATTGGTGTCTGTGAATGAAATTATGAGTATTGAAACATATTCAATTATCTCTTTGGCAAACAGACACCAGCCTTGAATGTGCTCACAGAGTATATTATTGGCTATATATACCCAGGATTTCCTGTTGCCAATATATGCTTCAAAGTTTATGGATATATAAGTATGAAACAAGGGATAATCTTTTTGCAAGATTTCAAGCTTGGGCATTACATGAAGATTCCTCCCAGGGCTATGTTCATGGCACAGGTTAGGTACCCTTATCCCTTCCCATTGAAGCAAGATTGAAAGTATATATAACTTTTGTTAGTCATATATAGTTGTCTACCCGTAATGTTTTGATCGCATGAAATTGTTATATCAGGTAATTGGTACTATAATCTCAGCATTGGTACATTTAGGAACTGCATGGTGGCTCATGAATACCATCCCAGACATATGTGACAGGGCATTGCTTCCGACAGGCAGTCCATGGACTTGCCCTGGTGACCATGTATTTTATGATGCATCCATCATATGGGGCCTCATAGGCCCTCGAAAGATTTTTGGAGATCTTGGCCATTACTCTACCATTAACTGGTTTTTCTTAGCTGGGGTAATAGCTCCCATTCTAGTCTGGTTGGCACACAAGGCATTCCCAAACAAGCCCTGGATTAGACTTATTAATATGCCTGTGCTCTTAGGTGCTGTAGTGAATATGCCACCTGCTACTGCAGTCAACTTTACTAGTTGGATTCTTATTGGATTTGCCTCGGGCTTTATTGCTTACCGGTATCATCGTGATTGGTGGAGTCGACACAATTATGTTTTGTCTGGGGCACTTGATGCTGGATTAGCATTCATGGGGGTATTGTTGTATTTGTGCTTGGGAATGGGGCATGTTAGTCTTAACTGGTGGAAAAGTAACTCAGATGGATGTCCTTTGGCTTCTTGCCCGACTGAACCAGGTGTTATAGTGAAAGGTTGCCCATTGTTCTAAGAAGTCTTTAATGTCTAGAATCTAGATAAACTTAATTGAATTAATGTTGTATATAGCTGTATGATTTTTCATCCATTGTAATTTTACAATAAAAAAGTTGAGTTGGAATTGTTTGGTTGATTATTGATATCATCTTTTGTGTTGGTATTTGAGTTGTTTACCACTTTACCCTGGATAAAGATGATTTCATCCCTGCACCGATCTCCGATCAGGTTTCTTAATTATTCAATGTGTCCTCCTTTCGTTTCTGAACCAGTTCTTCTGGTACCGCAGAGAACCTCTGTCTGTTACTTCGATTTCAGCTCAAATCGCGGTGCTACCCCTAGGCTACTTCATGGCAAAACTGTCAGCGGGAGAGTCTTCTTCAAGGGACAAAAGTGGGAGTTCACGCTAAATCCTGGTCCCTTAATGTCAAAGAGCATGTGTTGATCACCATCTTTGCTAATGCTGGAGCTGGCAACGTTTATGCGATTCACATCGTTAGTGTTGTCAAGATCTTTATAAGAAGCAGTTGACGTTCATTGTATCGTTACTTGTCGTTTTAACGACGCAGGTGTTAGGATTTGGGTGGGCTGGTATGTTCGTCGGTACTTGGTGGAACCTGCAGCCATGTGGTGGCCTCAGAATCTAGTACAGGTTTCAGTTCAGGTACTTCGTTAATTATGTATTGTTTCTATCATCTTAGTTTGTGGTGAAAAATCATTACGGTGGAGTTGGTTCAATTTATAGTGTGTATTATATTTGCTGCGTGTTCTGGTAATTTATTTATTTGCTTTGTCAAAGTAATTAGGTAATTTTCATGTCTCAGTCTTGGCTTGTCGTTGTATGCATAAATGTGGACCTGGTGGAAAGTGGTATCAAATAACTTTATTGGATTTTTAATTGTTAATGGACAATTAACTATTGGTTCTTCTAATTATTCTCTCTTTCTCAAGATTAACAAAGAATTTTACTACGTATAGTTGAGTTTGTGAGCTTTGGGTGATCAACTTTCCTCTGATCATATGTATGAATATTGAAATTACAGTCCACACTCCTAAGTCCTAGTTGAAACTTAAATATGTTAAATTGTTATGAGTGAATTAAGACATTTAACATATATTTTCCTGTTCAAGGCAATGAAGGAATATATCAGGAGAAACTCATTGTTTTGCTTTTCCTCTCATTGTTAACTCGTTCACACTTTCAGTAGTGAGTGTCACATTAAGCAATTCAACAGAGATTGCAAGATGATGAGTTGTTGCCTGCTAATTACCACATAATTTTTCTGTTATTTGTGTTAAAGCTTGCTATGTAGCTTCATGTTTGATAGATGCCCAAGTAAATTCTAGCTTTCCTTATGTAAAGAAATTTCTTGCTTAGGTTTCTATATAAAAATCAATTCTTGAATGTACCATCCTTTAGCAGCATTCGAGCTGGTTATCAATGTTGTTGATTCATTGATATCATCTTTTTGTAAATTTCATGCAATCACAGGGCATTACACGAGAAAGAGGAGAGAATGAAGGGCAGACTAACGAGGAACCAATTTTTCCTAGTCGCGTTCGTTTGCAGCTTTGCTTATTAGTGAAAATAAGAAATAGATACACTAAAAGTCGAATGTCCCTTGAAAACTCGGGTAATCATAGAAAGGACCGGCCACTACTTTTCATTAATGTTGTATGTATGTTTAGCATTGTAAAGCATCTTATGTCACATCCTACATTGCTAATGAATGAGAGCATTAGTTAGTAATATTCATTAGTTAGTAATAAGCCTTGCCACTCGAAGTTAATTATACAGTTACATTGAGTTTCAACATTAATGAAAGGTAGTAGCTGTTCACTGTATTTGAAACTTAATTATACAGTTACATGACTTTTTTACTCAACTAGAAGTTTTTCTCTTGCAGTTAAAACTTCTTACCAATGGTTTTAGGTTACTAAAAGTTGGGGGGTCGCTAGTGTACAGCACTTGCAGGTGCATTCAGTCTTCACTTTCTATGGATCAGAATATGCGCTGATATATTTACATCGTCATATTTTCTTACATTTACCTTTTTGGTTGATTAGTTTGACAGTTGCTCAGAATGAAGATGTGGTAGAGCAGTTTCTAAAGGAAAATGCCTTTGCTGGTAGGGTCCTCTATGCTTTGAAGTGTAACATGTAAAATCTCACTTTCTTAGAAATCATTAGTCGACATTCATAGCATTGAAGATAATAGCCTGCAGTTTGATTAACCAATTGGAATTTTGCTTACTGTCTTGGAAGCTAATTTCCTAACATTTTGTGTATCCTGTTTCTATGAGATTCATTATTTTTTAAGCCAATGTTTTATTACAGAATTGTATTAGCCTGAACCTGGCTGATCATTATCTTTCTAATGTTGCATATGGTGACATTTCCTTTTAATCTTGCAGAGTTGCAAGAAATAGATGCTGCCAAAGATTGGCCTTTCAGGAGCGGGAGGATACCAAAGACCTTGCGCTTTGACCCCTTAACGTCAAGAACCAGTGGACTATTTGTAGCAAAGTTCACAAAATTGGGCATATGATTTTCCTTTTTCCCCTATAAGATAATTTTGCCATATGTGCTCATAAGCTCCATGGTTGTCACTAAACGACTGTAGTCTTGATGATTAGAGAGTGATTACAATATTAACTTATTAGTGGACCATTTCCATTTGATTATGAAGTCGCAGTAACTTTCTGCGTGCTCGATCTTTGTAGTCCGATCTGGCGGTGTACTGGTGTTTCTGTTGTGATTCATGATTTTATTAAATCTTGTTTTCATAGAGTATACTGATCACAGAGAATTACAGTGGAATTGACTGTAATTGGTGTCGTATTTTGGCTTTTTGGCTGGGTCTAATCGAAAAGAGTAAACGACTTTTTTCCACCCAAGGTTTGCCTTAATGACACTTTTCTATCAAAAAGTTTCAAAATATCATTTTTTAATCCAAAATTTATATTATGTTAATATATAAAATATATTTCGTTTTCTCAACTTGCTTTTAGCGAGTTACCAAGGTCCAGGGTAAGAGAAGTTTTGTAGAGTGGAGGTCGGTGGATCGAATAGTGGTGATCGATTAAATAGTCAGCCATCGAAATCAATCGGAAATCAACTAAGAACAGGAAATCTTAACTTTGTAGTGATTGACAATCAACGAGAAATCAGGTGTCTAAGTAAGAAGGGTTTTATACAAAGGAGACCGAAGGTTCAAATAGTGATAATAGAGAAAATTATTGTCATCGGAATTAGTCGAAATCGACTTTGGATAGTAACGGAATATTAACTTTGGGTGAGAAATGAGTATTTTCAAACTTTTTGGGTGAAAAAAATAGTTTACTCAATCGAAAATTTTGTATATTGCCCTGAAAGCGGCAAAGTACATTGGATTGTCCGTATTATTAATCATCTACATCCGAATAGTTTTCTTTGCCTTAGGCATCTGCTTATTTGAACATAAACAATGCGATTCACTTCATATAAAGCCAAACTGTCTTGATTTGTTGTGATGGTATTTTCTGCTGTTTGTCCGTCATCAATGACCTCAAAAGGGTGCCCTTCAAGTACTTCTCAAATCAAACGGCTGGTCAACTCAACTAATCACAGATGGCATCGTTATTCCAACGGACAGGATCAGGCAGAGCATTGGTAATCATACGATGTTCTTCTTAAATAAAGTCTGATATTGGGCTACAAAGTTCAAAGGTCCAATCCAAAGCCCTTGATCCACGTCAACGTTTCAAACTTTTTTCGTGACAGTTTCCTGTGAACAGAATAAATGGCCACTGCTGCTACAGGCGGCAACGAAATCAAAGCTCCTCTTAGTAAGTCTTTAATTTCTCTTCTCTTTCATTACAAATTTCATTCACTTTCCTTCCAAACACTAACGAAGTTAAAATTATTTCTGTTCTCATGCGCAGTTCAGAAGATAAAATCCGGAGCATCAAGTTCAGGAACAGCGGCGGAGGATCCGTACGACGGTGAGAATTCACCTATCGAGCAAGTTGCTCTCACAGTTCCTACCACGGACGATCCTTCCCTCCCAACCTTCACGTTTCGTACGTTGATTTTAGGAACTTTATCATGTGTCCTCCTTTCGTTTCTGAACCAGTTCTTCTGGTACCGCAGAGAACCTCTGTCTGTTACTTCGATTTCAGCTCAAATCGCGGTGCTACCCCTAGGCTACTTCATGGCCAAAACTGTCACCGGGAGAGTCTTCTTCAAGGGACAAAAGTGGGAGTTCACGCTAAATCCTGGTCCCTTTAATGTCAAAGAGCATGTGTTGATCACCATCTTTGCTAATGCTGGAGCTGGCAACGTTTATGCGATTCACATCGTTAGTGTTGTCAAGATCTTTTATAAGAAGCAGTTGACGTTCATTGTATCGTTACTTGTCGTTTTAACGACGCAGGTGTTAGGATTTGGGTGGGCTGGTATGTTCCGTCGGTACTTGGTGGAACCTGCAGCCATGTGGTGGCCTCAGAATCTAGTACAGGTTTCACTGTTCAGGTACATTCGTTAATTATTGTTATTGTATTTCTATCATCTTAGTTTGTGGTGAAAAATCATTACGGTGGGAGTTGGTTCAATTTATAGTGTATTATATTTTGCTGCGTGTTCTGGTAATTTATGTTATTTGCTTTGTCAAAGTAATTAGGTAATTTTCATGTCTCAGTCTTGGCTTGTCGTTTTACGCATAAATAGTGGACCTGGTGGAAAGTGGTATCAAATAACTTTATTGGATTTTTAATTGTTTAATGGACAATTAACTATTGGTTCTTCTAATTATTATCTCTTTTCTCAAGATTAACAAAGAATTTTACTACGTATGGTTGAGTTTGTGAGCTTTGGGTGATCAACTTTCCTCTGATCATATGTATGAATATTGAAATTACAGTCCACACTCCTAAGTCCTAAGTTGAAACTTAAATATGTTAAATTGTTATGAGTGAATTAAGACATTTTAACATATAATTATGTTCTTGTTCAAGGCAATGAAGGAATATATCATGGAGAAACTCATTGTTTTGCTTTTTCCTCTCATTGTTAACTCGTGTCACACTTTCAGTAGTGAGTGTCACATTAAGCAATTCAACAGAGATTGCAAGATGTATGAGTTGTTGCCTGCTAATTACCACATAATTTTTTCTGTTATTTGTGTTAAAGCTTGCTATGGTAGCTTCATGTTTGATAGATGCCCAAGTAAAATTCTAGCTTTCCTTATGCAAAGAAATTTCTTGCTTAGGTTTATATATAAAAATATCAATTCTTGAATGGTACCATCCTTATAGCAGCATTCGAGCTGGTTATCAAATGTTGTTGTATTCATTGATATCATCTTTTTGTAAATTTCATGCAATCACAGGGCATTACACGAGAAAGAGGAGAGAATGAAGGGCAGACTAACGAGGAACCAATTTTTCCTAGTCGCGTTCGTTTGCAGCTTTGCTTATTATGTCTTTCCAGGCTATCTCTTCCCAATGTTAACCTCTTTGTCTTGGATTTGTTGGGTATTCCCTACTTCGTTATTTGCTCAACAACTAGGTTCAGGACTGCATGGTTTAGGTATTGGTGCCATCGGTCTTGATTGGTCAAGCATATCTGCTTACCTTGGGAGCCCACTCGCAAGCCCGTGGTTTGCCACTGCCAATATTGCTGCAGGTTTTGCCTTAACCACGTATGTCATTGCTCCCATTGCCTATTGGCTTAATATCTTTAAGGCCAAGACCTTTCCTATATTCTCAGACGACTTGTTCACCTCGACTGGCCAAAGCTACAATATTTCAGCCATTGTAGACCAAAATTTCCACATTGATATAGAAGCTTATGATCGTGAGGGTCCTCTCTACATGAGCACCTTCTTTGCTATGATCTATGGTGTTAATTTTGCCTGTCTAACTGCAACCGTTGTTCATGTTTTCCTCTTTCATGGGAGGTAAGCCACACTTTTTTGGGCTGATTTGTTTTCTTGAAGGTTCAGTGCTTGTTTGTCTGTTACTTTTTACTGATTGTATATTGTTTAAGAAAATCGTTTACTTGTTAATTAAAGGGCATCTTTCATCTGCCGATTAATCATAAGCATATTCCAAGCTGGTTACCTAGTAGAGGCTTTAATTTGGCATAAGAGATTAAAAAAAAAAAAAAAAAACACTTTTAAGCTGCAGATATGGATGCACTAAAATGTGCACAAACATAATTATGTAATCACTAAAAACTATGGCTCAATTTTTCTCTGATTCGTATATCTAGATTATGCATTTGAGGCTGGTTTGAATTTTCCAAAATGAAAGTATCCATAAGTTTAACTCAATATTTTATGGGTGCAGAGATATTTGGCAGTTAAGTAAGTCTGCCTTTCAAAATAAGACGATGGATGTGCACACAAAGCTAATGAGAAGATATAAACAAGTACCAGAATGGTGGTTCATGTGCATCCTTTTCATTAACATTGCAACAACCTTGTTTACATGCCAATACTACAAAAATCAACTCCAGTTGCCATGGTGGGGCATCTTCCTAGCTTGTAGTCTTGCCCTATTTTTCACTCTTCCTGTTGGAGTGATCACTGCTACAACAAATCAGGTAAAGTTGCGTACAATATTACAAGTTTCCACCTATTTTGTATAGTTAAAAATATAAAAAGTATGCTTTGGTGTGTTCTGTAGATTCTTTTGTCTTAGATTGCAAATAGTATAATAAGTCATTGATCATAGTCCAGAATTATAATCTCATTACCGTCGATGGAGTGTTTGTGCCATTGGTGTCTGTGAATGAAATTATGAGTATTGAAACATATTCAATTATCTCTTTGGCAAACAGACACCAGCCTTGAATGTGCTCACAGAGTATATTATTGGCTATATATACCCAGGATTTCCTGTTGCCAATATATGCTTCAAAGTTTATGGATATATAAGTATGAAACAAGGGATAATCTTTTTGCAAGATTTCAAGCTTGGGCATTACATGAAGATTCCTCCCAGGGCTATGTTCATGGCACAGGTTAGGTACCCTTATCCCTTCCCATTGAAGCAAGATTGAAAGTATATATAACTTTTGTTAGTCATATATAGTTGTCTACCCGTAATGTTTTGATCGCATGAAATTGTTATATCAGGTAATTGGTACTATAATCTCAGCATTGGTACATTTAGGAACTGCATGGTGGCTCATGAATACCATCCCAGACATATGTGACAGGGCATTGCTTCCGACAGGCAGTCCATGGACTTGCCCTGGTGACCATGTATTTTATGATGCATCCATCATATGGGGCCTCATAGGCCCTCGAAAGATTTTTGGAGATCTTGGCCATTACTCTACCATTAACTGGTTTTTCTTAGCTGGGGTAATAGCTCCCATTCTAGTCTGGTTGGCACACAAGGCATTCCCAAACAAGCCCTGGATTAGACTTATTAATATGCCTGTGCTCTTAGGTGCTGTAGTGAATATGCCACCTGCTACTGCAGTCAACTTTACTAGTTGGATTCTTATTGGATTTGCCTCGGGCTTTATTGCTTACCGGTATCATCGTGATTGGTGGAGTCGACACAATTATGTTTTGTCTGGGGCACTTGATGCTGGATTAGCATTCATGGGGGTATTGTTGTATTTGTGCTTGGGAATGGGGCATGTTAGTCTTAACTGGTGGAAAAGTAACTCAGATGGATGTCCTTTGGCTTCTTGCCCGACTGAACCAGGTGTTATAGTGAAAGGTTGCCCATTGTTCTAAGAAGTCTTTAATGTCTAGAATCTAGATAAACTTAATTGAATTAATGTTGTATATAGCTGTATGATTTTTCATCCATTGTAATTTTACAATAAAAAAGTTGAGTTGGAATTGTTTGGTTGATTATTGATATCATCTTTTGTGTTGGTATTTGAGTTGTTTACCACTTTACCCTGGATAAAGATGATTTCATCCCTGCACCGATCTCCGATCAGGTTTCTTAAGTCGTTTGGTGTAATATTCCTATCTATATTTCCAATCTATTCTCAAAATATTGTTTGTTTAATTATTTAGTAAATATTAGTATTTTTTTTAATTACTTTTAGTCCCTTAAGTTTTTTAATTTCATTAAATACCCTCAGAAAAAAGTTTAAAATTAACAAAAACCACCACCACCCACCCATAGTTGCCGATTCTAGTAACCACCGTCGATGGTAGCCAGAATCTGTCACAACGGCTTACAAACGACCGAAACTGGCCGGTATTCACCGATCTGGCTTTTTCCGACTAGATCCACATGGATCTGATCAGAAAAGACCAAATCTGGCCTTCGTTGACAATCAACGACGGCCAAAGCTTTTCGACCAGATTTGGACTTTTGCGGCCATCAACGGCCAAATCTAGCCGTAGATCTGGCCTTACCCATCGGATCCGACCGGTCTGCGTCGTAATGCCATTTTTCAGCCAGAATCTGGCACTGTGGGTGGGTGAGAGTGTTTTTGTCATTTACAAAAAAATTATATATTGAGTGTTTAGTTAAATTAGCAACCTAAGGGGTTTTTTTTGTTAATTTTTAATTTTTACCTCGTAATACTTACTCTATTCAACTACCCAATATTATTCCCAAATCCTATCCAAAATCAAATAAACGGACTCTTAATTGTCAAATCAGTAGTTCAATACATACTTTGAATAAGAAGAAGAAAAGCTATGGAAATTGATAACATCAAAAAGACTCAAAAACCATTTTCATTAAGGTGGAAAATCCTTCAACTTCACTCCACAAATCGGGTACTTTTCTTTATAGATCATTAAAATTAATCTTTCATCTCTGGCTATGAAACCCAAATGATACATAGACCTCAAAATGTCCTATATGTTCACAACAAGAAGTCTCTTCTTTCCTATAAAAAACATACCAGAAGGGCTGCATTGGTATCAGTGCCAACCTCACACAGCTTTCAGCACTTCGGCTGCGTTAATAGCCTGTATTGTAGTTATATCTGTTTTGACATACCAGGGCAAACACAATTGACGGAGAGAGTGTGGTACTTCTTGGCCAGGATCCTTGTATAGGCATTCATAGCGCTTTGTATAAAACATAAGCAACTAGAAACAGCCAGCCATTGGCTTCAAGTGACGCTCTTTGTAACTCCAAATACTCATTTAACACCTCATCTCCCTTCTCTTCTGTAAGGTTTTCAGTATCACTTAAAACTTGTTTAGCCCATTCATTTTTACTCTCTGAAACAAAATGATGAGAATTACTCATTTAACATCTCATCTACTTTTCTCTTCTACAAGCAATTGAAATAAAAGTTCTCATTATCATCAACAGAGCAAAATAACATTTCAGATACTTGATATCTTGATTTCCAATATTTGTTACCATTTTACGTGAACTGATGAGAAACAAACTATCTGAGATATTTTACTGTTCTAGAACTCAAGAAATTAACTAGAACATTTGGCAGAATTTATCAGCTGGTCAATTCCGAGAAAGATTATTGAAACAAAACTTAAATATATTTACCTTTAGTTTTCCCATAGAGGAGGAAACATTAATAATTCTTGGTGAATTGGATAACTGAAGGAGAGGAATAAGTGCTTCACACATTCTTTTGGTACCATGGTAGTTTGTTTTAAGGCATTGTTCAGCTAACCCATAACTTTGAGTCACTCCTTCATTCCATTTGATTTGCACGCCTTCCTGCATAATGGGCAAAAACATATTCTTAGTAGGCTAGAAACGGTTTCTCACAGTGTCCCATACATTTCTTCCGAAGCTGCAGTATCTTTCAGGTAGTCCACACCATAAACAAATGCTATTTCTAAATCATCAGCTCATCAAAAGCAGAATAAGTTAATCTTAGGAAAACTTAAAAATGCCATTCACCTTGAAACCTTCACATTGGCTCTTCCTATTAATTAAAAAAGGATGATCATAAATAGTGTCCAGCATTTAGCACCCATGCTTTTAATTTCTTCTAAATTACATCCAATCACAGTTGATTTTCTGTTTTCAGCAATGAAACATAATACATACACAAGAGTACCTTTGCCATGACTCCAGCAATTCCCGCATTGTTCACCTGCAAGTAGAAGTCCGATATTTTCTCATTCACTTCAAAACTTTTCAATGATAAATACTTCAGAAGGTAAGTAATACGATTAGTTTTAACTATATGGGATTGCAAATATGAAAAAAATAAATTAAAAAAATACACTGCGTTCAGCTTTTAGGCCAACCTGGAGGAAACAAGAATAGAAACTGCAGCCTGACAACAATTTCTACACTTTAAACAAGGAAATACCCAATTTTTACTTTATGCAAAAAGGGTTCCTCATGCATCGATGGCTACAACGAACAAATTTCATGTTTGTGAATGCCATTCAATATTCTCTACCAGCTAGTTCAAATCACAAGACAGATTAAAGGAAAAAAATGGTTACTGGCATGTCCTTAGGTTGAACCAAACAAGAAAAACAGGGAGAGGCAAAAGATTAGAAAGAAAATTATTTTAAAACATACCAAAATGTCAAGCTTGCCAAAGTGATTTCTAATGAAATCCGTGAGAGAGTGCACACTAGCATTGTCGGTCACATCAAGCTGACGAAAGATCACATTATCATGACCAGATTCTTTCAGCTTCTCAACAGCTTCGACACCCCTTTTCTCATCCCTGGCCGTCAATACAACGATGGCAACATTTATAGCTAATTGCCTGCATATTTCAAACCCAATTCCTTTATTCGCTCCTGTAACAACTGCATACCTGAACACAGAAGACAGATAATGGGTGAAAAAAGAGCAATTACAACACGAAATAAGAAAAGAAAATTTACAACCTAGTTTTTGCTTGTTCCATTGATGTTACAGACTACAGACACTGGCGAAAAATGAGAATTGAGGACTTTGTCAAAGGGGATATTACAAAAACCCCTGAGGTTTGGGTATATAATAAAAATTTCTCAATTTCTGGAAATCACATTTATTCCCCACATCATCTGGCCCAAACAAAGTTTATGTTAAAAAGAAACAATTGAGATTCCGCATGATTTGTCGTTGGGGTTTTGGAAAGTACGAAAAAAACCTCCCTATCATCTGTTAAATTTGACGGTTCCATCCACCTTTTTTGAAAAGTCCGTTTTACTCTCATTAGCAATCAATTAAAAAGTGAAAAGACGGTTTTACCTTCACTATCATCAATTAAAAAGATAGAAGACCGTTTTACCCCTTTTTCATTTAACAATTTTTTTACTTTGTCGGGCAAATATTTCACTTTGTCGAATTGTTTCATCATGTCATGGACTTCCATGATCTGTTCAAAAAGCTGAACAAAAATATATTTGCAAAACGCTAGAAGGAGGGCTTGAACCTCCGACCTTGTGGTTAACAGCCACACGCTCTAACCAACTGAGCTATTCCAGCATCCATGAACATGCACATCCATCAATATTATTTAAATCATAAACTATTCTAGATTGT